ATAGGGGACCGCGGTTTAAAGATGGCGGTCGCCTGTTCGTGTACGATTTGTTCCAGGCGATCCTGAATCTGGACGGAGGAAGAGAGAAGAATACCGTTGGATTCAAGGACTGGAATGTGGGAATGTGCTGTGGATTTGATAATCCGTGTTGATCCTTAACAGAATGTCTGTAAATGACACTCGGTAAATGTTCGTATTCCATGTTTTCAGAAAGCTGCTAACAATTGTGAATCATCTGGAAAATCTTGTGACGGAGCAGTCAGCGGTGCCTCCATGAAGAGTTCCACACCATCTTCCTACCGGCCTTATGTATACCAGCAGTAGTGGATCCATTACTTTCACCCTGTCAGTACTTATATCGCATTCCTAGTCCACCAACATTTGGGTTGATTTAGCGCCACATTGTGGGTACAAAGCTCCACGAAGGTGACTGTTGTGCAAAGTCATTTGCATGAGAAAAGCATTACAATATCAAAATGTTCTCAGTTTTGTAGACTAATATTTGCAAGAAATAACTGTAAAGGTGTAGTTACATGTATTTCATAATAAGAAGTCAGCTATTAAAAAAGGTGCACTTACATGCCGATATGCCAATGAATAAAATTTGCAACAAATGTAAACGCAGAAAAAGACATTTGTTATTCAGCAAAATTTTTTGTGGGGTTACAGTTATGTACAATAGGTAATAGTAGATAAAAATGTGTAGCTAGTTCCTGGTTTATTTTCTTCACTCTCGCACTTATACGTTTCAAACGAGGTGATTAATTAGTGGGGTTGTTTTGAGAGCTGACAAAAATCAGTACAAGTTTATGGTGGCTTGGATGCGGGACTATTTTTCTACCTCTAGGAATCCAGCAGTCGAATTTATCACAAAGTTAGTGCATATTGCTCTCGTTTACCATTAGGGGTACATTTAAACAGCATAAGCATTCTGTAGCCCTTGTGTCTTTCAGGCACAGTCTTCTCTGCTTCCCCTTTATGTTGCCGTTGTGTATGCCATTGTATGGTTCTTCTTCTCGCGTTTGTAGGCAAAACCTTGTCTTCGAAAAACACCAGGGGAGTACCTTTTAAGACTGCATCATGGCGTTTTAAACAAGCATTGGCTAAGTATGGAATTGTGCGTTCCAAACAAAGCAGTTTGTAGACAACAGGGCTTTCACCACGCGTACTTCATTGTTGCCTTTATATAATTAAATTTTAAGTCCTTACTCTTTCAAACGTTGACTATGTTATCTGTAAATGGTGCTTGATACTTGTATGGTCCATTGCAGATTCATTATTGGCCTGAGGCACCACACTAATTCTCCAATATATACTTTAAAAAAAGTTTGAATATAAAGAATTAGGAAAAAATATTACGTTATTCTTACTAGAGTCATCAAAAACTATTTTCAACTTAGAGGTTTTTTGGCTAAAAACTAAATGGTTGTTAGTATAAGACCCTAT